GACATCTATTAGAGAACCATTAGAAAACCGATTGGGAGTTCTAGACAGCTGTTTCGTCCTAGTTTGAAACTCCTCATCAGTATGAACCCACCGACAGGGTTCGAACCCAGGGCCTTCTGGTTACAAGGCTTGCGAGCTTGTTGACCATTAGGCCACTGGGACCCGATTCAATGACCAGCCCATGAATTCTAACTTCTGCCAACTCATGATATAGCGCGACCACTAGCCAATGTCTTCGGGAATATCTGTCTTCACGGCCGAACTGATATACCCTACTGGTCACGACTTCTCACTGAAACCCTACCTGAATAGCACCAGTCGCTAGTGAGCATGTCATTGGTATTCAGCTGTCATTATTATGCTTGATTCTATATTATTCAATAGTCACTCTAATTCAGTGTACATATTTTGATCTTAATAACCTAGTACCGTTGCTGATGTCTACAATAATAGGAAAGATTTGTAACTCAGGTGGATGATTTGCAATTAATAGTGTTCTCTGAGCTGGTTGGTTTAGTTGCGGAGCTTTTGTCGTCTATCTGGACGGCATCTTCAGCGCAGTATTTAGCATAAAGTTAAATGATGTCTACAATGTTATTTCTGATTCAGTAATTCGGTAAACCAGCCTTTATGCGATCACTGAACTGTATTTCTTATTTATCTTACCATTGAATTCATTCATTTTCTTTTTGCTTGGTCGATTACTGCATAAATTATAAAACAGAGGTTGATTTGTACTTGTAACATACGTACATACATGCACACCTTTCATATGACCTTGTTCTTCATATTTTATTCTACTCTAAAAAAACAAATCACTCCTCATTTTGAGAATTTGTTTTTAGTGAATTGAAATTTTTTGAAATTATTATTTTGTTTGTTTTAAGTTGAATTAATAACAACTAAATAATTCCACTACATATAAATATTGAAAAAAAACACAATATCACGCCTCCACTATTCAAAGTTTAATTTTCATCAATGTATCACATTGAAAAATGAACATGTTTTACGGTGTTTTAAAAAATTTGAGTATGTTAGAAAAAAAAGTCTAAAAATTGGTACATTTATGAAATCAGAGAAGTAACAAACATAATTTCTTTGATGTATCAAACCTACTAGCTTTTTTATGTCTATTTGCTTCCGGTAACCGGAATTTACCTTAATGGTTGAAATTCATGCTAATATACATGTGTGTGTATATATATACAACACTAACTATTGCCTGAGTAGAATTTCAGCAATGTGTCAGAGTTTGATTTTTAATACCGAATAAATTTATTGTATGTAACACGAAGGCACGAAATAGTGGAACATAGTAAAAGTACTAAAAAGTGGTGTCAGTAGAATGAGAAGTCAATCACTGAATCTTTGATCATTGAATGAACATGTAATAGAGATGACGTAACACCAATCCCAGGTATATCACATTACATGAAAGAGAAAGTACAGCTGACTAAAACTACTAATATTGTGGTGAGAGCTGGCTGTTAGCCAAAACTGGTAGACAGTAATTTACATCAATGTTTATGTCCCCAATATTGGTCGTGAGATAAATGAGAACAAAGACTTAGAGTAGGCGGATACAATTAACATATAGATGATCTGACATTCAAGAAACAGTCACAAAGAGATGCAAGGTTAACTTTTTGTGAGAGAAACAACCAATCAGAAGACTGTTTTCCTGCTAACAATAATCTATAGTAATGTACACGAAAATCTATAAATATGTGTTGATTACCTTAATAAATGATCTGTTGCCTGGCCCTCGCTTTGTGTTGTTACAATATAATTAGGAGCAATACATTTTGCTTGAAATATGATCTAGTTGTAGTAAGGTATCGCTGTATGTGTGTGTGTGTATTTCATCTGATAATAATACCTATGTTGGCTGAAAGATAGAGTGCGTTTTATTCGTCTATTAGTTCCAAATATATTTTCAACCTGACAAAACAATAAGTCAGGAGTCAAGAAAATATTCAACCAACTTCAAAATTAATGATTTTCACGCTACATAGCAAATCAATAGAACTTTAAAAATGTCAAGCATTCAATTTCAATGAAGTTGATTAATGATAAAAAGCTAACCACGAATTTTACTATGTTTGAGAATTGCAAAGAAATAAATATGTCATTCTTTCTTATACTTGGTGGTTTGTTTTTTACCCATTGCACGGTGAAAAAGAGTTATTTAATAGCATCGCACAGGTGATATCAGTCCCTTCAAAGTTACAGGTAAGCCTTACTGACGAGTACCAATAAGCACCAAAACTGAGGTGTAATATCTTCTGCAGATTGCCTTCAACCCCCGAATATCACTTCGAAAATGTATCATAGTGATCAGTCTCTTGAAGCGGTAATCACATTGAAAACTTTACTGGTAAACTTTGGTTGGCACCACTGGTTATATCCTAGTAACTAATCAGTTTTACTAGATGACGTTTCTAACACTGTTTCATAATTCTATCAAATGTTACCTTGCTTCGATTGTCTGTTGAAACTGCTCTGAAATGGATTGCTAAACCAATAAACCTTGACAAAAAGGTCCTATAGACGAAAAACAGGAATATCCATGAGTTGAGTAACAGAGGCTTGAAGATGTTGTCTTGTCAGTATGCAAGTTTAACACGGAGATATTTTTAGATATTCTTGAACAGCCGAAGAGGTATTCGAAAGCGAGAAGTAAATAAAATCTCGGAGGAATTAGGATTATACAGCTATTCTAAAATATTTGGGATGTTAATGTAACGGTAGAAGGTTTTGGAATTGTTTATTTGCAACTCGATGCACAGATATAGACGAAATACGTCTACCATATAGTAGAATAATAATTTACATATATCTGCGGTATTGTGCTACTTTGTCTTCTGTATTGTTCTTCCTTGTCTGCTTGTCGTGTTTTCTATGTTGTTTCTTAAGCATCGTTCATCAAATTGATCTCTCTATCACCTGATATTCTTGACGATGATATACATATTTATATATGCATCTATATGCTACTTATGAATCTTATCAGTAGCAACGCCATAACAACACTTCACTTCATCTATATACAATAATCATTCTTAATTTTTGTTTGACACTTGTTTGTCCAGTGAACTGAAGTCGTAAACAGTTAGTATGACATTAATGAAAAGAAACAGATCTATTTTATTCTGTTCCATGAGTTATTGCTTTGTTCGTATTCATTAAGAGAAGTTCGTGTAAGAAATGAATGCCTAAATGAATCAGGATTAAATGACATATTCCGTTGTCTTATTAGCAAGTCACATCTTTAACTTTGCAGTCCTCATTGTCTTTTCAAAACTGTGCAACAATAAAACTAAGTGGTCCAGACTTATTATACTGAACTACTTTACTTCATACGCAGTAAATATTGATTTTTTTAGTTACATAGTAATAGGTTTTTAACGCCAAAAATTTATAAAGTGAGAGTTTTTTGATTGAATAGAGAAGGATAGACAACTTTTCTAGTGTAGTTTCTAGAATGTATCGTCGGTTAAGTGTTGAAATGCTGACCAACCATTTACATGGTCAGAGTTGGATTCCCAGCTAACGCACCCCTAAATCTATCCTAGTTTACCAACAGTCAGTAAGACGGAAGGTTTGAGTGTGACCTGTGAATTATCAAGGCTATCCCAAATAGTCTCACAGTCATTCAACAACTTTCCTCACTCCTTATTCAGTGTCACTGGAGCCCACAAGAGAAAACCTAGATAGACAACTAGTGTGATGAAAAACTTACGGTTACGTATCATTAATTCACATAAAAGTTAGGAATTAACCATGATGATTTTAGTGAAAAGACTAGCCAGCTAGAAGATGGATTTCGTACCACAGCTAACTGAACTCGGGTCCTTTGGCTCGAATATTCCAACGACACAGGTGTCTGAGCCATCATACAATATATAAAAAAATTTAGTCAGTACTAAATACTAGATGACAAAGTGTAATTGATTTTTGACGGATTTTTACTGTATTGAGATCAAATTCTAGACAATAGCCAAGTTTCATAACACAGCTACTCAACAGAAACATGCACTAACCTAAAAGTCATCAGATTTGATCATAATGTGTGTGTGTATATAGATTTCTTCTAAGAAATCAAGGGCGATAATTTCAGTCGATTAATTAAATGAAACGTTTAAGTTACGTGTCAAATCCAAAACACAGGAAATGTTTAAAGTACAATACTGTGTTTTATATAAAATAATGATTGCAACATAAAAAAACTCTAAATTGTGATGTGTCTAAGGCTGGATACCTCTAAATGCACTGACAGCGGCAAAGTTGTGTCAAGGGTAATACACGGTAAAATTAAACAACGCGCGAATAGAGAACAAAAGACTAGAATAATCAATATTCTACACAGAATTTAATTACAGTATATACAGAAGATGCCATTTAACTAAGAAAAGATAATTTCTACAGAAGAAATAGAATTTTTATACATCAAATGAGATAAATTTCAGCAGCAGTAGTAGTGGTACTACGGAGCATCCACGCAGTACACGAAATATGAAACCTATACTACTTACTAGTGGTGAGTAGTATAAAGTTTAACACGATGAAACAGTAACAAAATGATAGGTAAGAAAAGAATTAACTAATCGGTGGTTTTCCTCAGAATGTAGATGTCTTCCTTCTACATTTAATATGCATATATATATATACTATAAAATACTTAATATATATATATATATATATATATATATATATATATATAGTATTTTATTTAAAAACACCCGTAGTAAGACATGATTTTCGGCTTCTTTTTATGTGGTAGCATTAGAATTTTTTGTGAAATCTATTGCTTTACGAAAAATAATTCTTGCCAAACATTCAATATAAAATATGCTGTTTGAGGTAAGTCGAAATTATTTTAAAGTTTAATCATCAGTCCACAAAGCAAAAATATATTACTTAATTAAATCAGTAGTAATGATAAGTATACCTGCTGTTTAGGTAATTTAATGTATCACATATATTTTTTTTCTTAGAGTTTTGGATCCCTCCTGAAATGAAAGAGTTGACAAAGCATACTAACAATTCCAAACAGTCTAATATGGTATCAATCAAGTATAGTTTAAATGAAGTGATTCAAACAACATCTGTTGTGGGTATCACTACGCATGTTACTGGTAAAATCGATCTAGATGAATTCGACATACCACATTCTCGTCAAAGATCAAAATCTCCACCTTCTAAAAAACAAATTAACCACACTGAACATGAGAATGAAACCAATGATCATAGAAGTCGTAGTTATTCATCAAGATATGAACGAAGCAGTTCTAGATCACGTCGTCGTCTCATAAAACCAGAATTCGAAGCTGAACAGTTACAAGAGAATATCTTAGAGGCACGTCTGTTTGGAACTATTGGACAAGTTGTACCAGTTACTATCAAGAATAAGCTAACAAATGGAAATGTTTCTGTTGAAACAAACGAATATGTTGAACATGATTTATCAAACTCTATTAAGACATTGAGACCTTTAGAACCGCTTAAGATTGATGTCAGACAGCCTAGTCCAACAAAAGACCTTAACGCTCATCAAGTGTTAAATTCGGAAACAAATAACACCAATTTTCAAGATGATAGTTCACCAGTTCAGAATAAAAATGATTCTTGTAGCAACCTTTTAAATTTAAATAAAGAACAAAACATACTTTCAGGTCGTTTAGTAACTTCAGATATTGAAGCAAAATGTATTAATATAACCTCAGACTTAGAAACCTCTACGAAACTGATAAATGAAATAACTGGTGACCGATTTAAACCGCGTTTAAACTATGATGATATACCCTTAGTTGATGCGGAAGTGACAGACGAAATTAAACAGATACCTGAAGTAACAACAACCACTACAGCCACTTCTATACCAACAACCTCACCGACAACACCGTCATCAAGCTATTCACCTTCAGATAGGTATAGGAAAGAAGTTCACATCAGAAAACATAAAATAACGCATGAAGAAACTTTTACGTCGCGTACAGAAACCACTAAAACTACAACTAATAGTATCAGTCGCGTAGAAAATGATTACAGCAACTCCAGAACTACAGACAATATAACTGTCAACCAAGCACGCACTCGTAGTGGTGATGATAATGATGCAGTGATAGAAAAAGGAGAACATACAACTCAAAGAATGCCAGAGAATTCAGTTAAACCTGAAGAAGATGAAACACAAAGAAGCAGGTACCATTCTGGTTCTTCTTCAAAGCCAATACGAATAATACATGTAAGCCGTACAAAATCAGGTGAGCATAAATCACGACACTCTTCTGAAAGCAGAACAAATGAACATGTTAGAACAATTAGTGTTTCACCTGGACCAAGAGGATCAAATCGTAGTGCTACGACATCCAGATCGAATTCAAGTAAGTTAGAGAGTTTTCTTCTTAATTTATATTTACTGCTTGAAAAAACAATGACTACATCAGACGTTGATTAAGTATCATACAATTGATGAAGAAAGTGATGCCATGCAATCAGCTGACCACTAAGATAATAAGAGAAACACAAATAAAATGGAAAAATAGCTAACCATCGATTTAATAATGCCTATCATTGGAGTCGTAATAATATGTATGTTGAAGTGTTTTGACGGAATATCAATCACAGGGCTTGCAGTGACCATCCCAGTATTCTGTACACCGAACTAAGGGACCCAGTAGCTCAGCTGTCTTTACTATCACTTAAGGTAAAGAAGCAGTACCAAATGTGAAGACAAAATGTAAGCTATGACGTAATAAATCACTTATGAAACAGATGACTCTTAAAAACAATGAAACAATGAATCATTTGCTTATTCAAGTTTCAAAACTGATAAAACGCAATTTTTTAAAGTTTGGTGTGTACGGCTTTACCTTTCTTGAATAGCTAATTTCAGAGGAGCATTTCTATAAACTTATATATATAACGAAATTCTGAAAGTGTTTTACTTCATAAATTTCCCGAATTCCTTACTAATAGTTTGGACTGATAGTTAGCGAATTCCTGGTGTGGATAGAAAAGATTCAACTAGCCTTTGTGAAAATGCAGTTTTCTTTGCAATGTGGGGATACTAGAATCACTAACAAATCTGGGTTTTATTAGGATTATTGCATTCTGAACTATTTTATAAGTATGAAACATGACTTATAAAAGTTGCAGACTAGATAAAGCTTTAAGTAGTGTCCAGCCACTGTTAGCCTCCCCTCCCACTATACATATATGGCCAAACGGCCACATCAGTAATGCATAAGCATCATGTTAGGAAAGGAGAGAGAACCAGTCGAACACACTGTCGAATCCAATCGTCTGACACAAATTCTAGATGCGTTATATAGTCCCAACAACGGATATCAGTTGGAGTAGGCTTAGACTGTGAAGGAGTTAAGAATGACTACATTAAGAAACAGCTACAATAGATCAGATCGTTGACTGTTGATTTGAGCATCGGAAAGGAATATTAGTCTCCTTTAGTAGTCTCGTTTTATAACGTCATCCCTTATTTTACTGTTATTACTATTAATAATATTATTTCCACTTGAAATAGTTACTGTCTACCTGTATATGATGGTCTGAAGTAACGCAAATGGCAACGTTTAACAACAATTATAGATTTTTGTTTGCTTGTCCGTTTCTATCTCTTCATTCACATAATACGATTTAAACTGGAAGCAGTTTAACCATGTCAAAAGACAAAATGTTACCAAAAAGAGCTTTCTACAATTTGTTGATCTTTAGAATTCTACAATTACATGTGAAATCTCTATGAGAACTGTTAGGACGGGAGGAAACATACCATAAGTCAGTATTTCCCACATGATCTGTAAATCAGACATTCGAATCTAAGGTAGACTTAGTCATACCATGTGCATTTTTACTGGTGCATGCTGTACAGTAGAAACATAGAGTAGTAATTTCTTGGTCACGTGAAGTAAACATGTAATTAGCTTTAATTTCTAGTCAGATAATCTTTCTCATGGAGCCATAAGTCTTTGCTATCTGTGTCAGTCTTCTGTGTCTTCTGAGTGTGACAATAGTGGTCGAGTAATCAGTCACATGTTGTCCAGGGTTGAAATAACAGCAGAATGAGTCAAAATCCAGTATAAACATAGACACAATACATTAGGAGTGGATATGTGGTTTACACATCACATTGGTTCGTAATGTCTCCTCCTGTCCTTAGGAAAGCATCAGCATAATGCCTTCTATCAATTAGATCTAAAATAAAACAGTGGTTCTCTAGTGTCTTTCGTGTCTAAAACTAAAGGTTTTCTGGTAACAAAACCATTCGTGTGTTCTGGAAAGAATTATCATAACTGAAAACTGGGATATCGTACTTCAAGTGTTAGTTTGTAGGGATTTTATTGGTTTAAAGTCTGGCCACAGAATGATACCAGTTAGAGAACCATAGAAAATCAGGGAAAACTGGAAATCTATTTGCCGTTGCTTGAGAATCACCAGCAGTACCCACTTATGAGACCACCAGGAACCAAACTTAGCACAATCAGGTTATACGGCGGGCTTATTAACCTTCCAGTCACTGGGGCAAAATCCAATAACCCATGGATTTTAACTTATACCAACTTGCAGTATATGTGGCACGACTACAAGCCAATATTGTCAACGAATATTTGCCCTATCACCCAACTTGAGGGATCCAGCTGGTGGCCACTTCTCATTAGAACTTCAGGCAACTTCATCCGGTAGTCAGTCACCAGGAAAAGCTAGATCAATTTTTTAGGTGTTATTCTGCAGGCATTGGATTGCTTTCAAGTTCACGCATAGGTTGATATACTGATACTTTTGGGTCAAGAGTATAACATGAATCTATTTAATTTTGACGGGATGTATAGTGAGGATTATCTCTTTTGAATAATTTCCTTATTTATCACTTATCCAATGAGTTTTCCAGCTATGTCACTTTGCTCTCCCTCATAAAGTGTGTAGAGAAGGGGATAAGACTAGACAGTGTCGTTTGTTTTAATGCCTAAATTCCCCGTAATACTTAAGTTGTTTTCTGCCATATGATGACTTAGCATTGAGTAAGTGCTTTAAAATGAATTTTGTTTTTATCGTACTAAACTCGAAAATTTATAACAGTGGATTTTAGAAACAGCTTCTAAATAAAGGGGGAATTTAGGCGGGTTTTAAGATTAGAAAATAATGGATCGGTGATCAAAATGTTGCTGACTAAGACTGCTAAGAGTTACGTTTTATAATTCATTCCTCATCCTTGAAAAATTGTAACAAATTTAGTATAATTATTCGGTGTTATATAATCACTATTTTTACTATCCAATACATTCAGCAACTGAAACTTTTGGAGGGGAGAATTCGAATTTTTCCAACTACCGTGAAAATGTGAGAGCATTCAGCATGTAACTGACCTGTAGTCATTTTCAAATGTCCACAGTAATTTTGCTACTATAACTTCAAGATAATTCACTTTATTCCACCATAATTTTAAAATTATTTCACTCTGGAGCATGATGATTTGTGGAAATGAATTCTACATATCAGCCTCTGACAAGGAATTATGGATTGTCTTGATATTGGTTAATACACCTAAATGTATATTCAAAGTCACAATAGTTTCAACCTAAATTATTAGTCTCCTTAACATCTAAGCATCAAATAGTTCTAGTAGGAAAGGGAATATGGTTTCTACTGGGATGAAGGTCAGATGAAAATGCCTCTCTGAAGTCTAACGCGCACTTCGATATATATTTTAAAATCTAAGCATTAGGATAGGTGGTAAAGAACAAAATTGTTGGCTTAAACTAATTTTACTTAATATTTGATCAAATGAAAAGTTAAGCTCAAAGATTATTGAATGGCTTCACTTAACTATTATAGTACGTCTTGTCTATAAGGTTTCTGAAAGCCAAGTAGTTGTCACTGTTGTTTCACTGGAAAAAATTTCATGTCAATGCTTATTTCAATTAATCCTTCATATCTTTTTTCGTCCAAAATAAAATTTGGTAATGTTCAATCAAAAAGTGTTTATAGTGAATATCCTCTTTTCTAATATCGTTTTATTCAAGTTAATTTGAATAGTGTGAAATAAATTCAGTTAGTATTAAAGATAGTGCGTCAGTGGCACACTGGTAGAATGCTCGCCAACCGCAGACGTAGTCTGGGGCTTGATTCCCGGCAGACTTACTCCTTTACTCCACGAAGCCAGTAATAAGACTAGTAAAGAAGGAAGGTTAGGCATGAGGTTAGCAACCCCATCCCGTAAAAATAAACCCACTGCTACGGAATCTTCAAAGCCCTAGCTTGGAGCCCTATATTCCACTGGCAAAGTGGAGGAATAAAACTTAAAAAAACTAAAAGTATTAAAGATAAAGACATGGTGTGAGTTATTTTCCAATAGAATATGGAGTTGTTTGACTAGTGGTGGTCAATAGTGAAATTCAAGACGCTCGTTTTCCCTTACCTGAGACTAATTGGTTGGGTTCATCTGTATCCATCTGGAGTTTGATAACTCATCAACCTTCGAAGCGATGAGTACTGTCTCTTACTCTCACTGCTAACATGACCACTTACTCGGACACAGATAAATTCAGATGACCAGTCGTAAATAGCAAGAAACTCACATCTTGGATTCTGCTACCAGCTGCAGTCGATCGTGTTAATGCCATGCTAACCTTAAAGCATCGTTGAAGAGACCTTACCAGGAGCTAATATATCAAGTGGTCTTAGAAAACCGTAATCTGACTTTCAGTGTTCATAACCTATGAAAATCGATTTCAGAATTTCATCTTGATAAATGCTCTCTTCTTGTATAGCACTCTGAATCACATATGTAGCAAACTGTGTATCCGTCGTGTTTTTGTTTTTACAAAAAACCGAAACTCTGATGCTGATTGATCAGTTAATATTTATTCATACAAATTTGTTATAGCTTCTCCTCCTAAGAGGAAAGGTCTTCGAAGTGCTGTTGGTAAGTTGTGGTTTTTTTTCTGTTCACGTCACCGAGATGCAACGAACATCATCCGTTTACTCGGAATCCATTTTAACTTTAATTAATGCTTGTAATAAAGAAAATTTTTCCAAATTGACATCCTATTTCTTCATTCATTTCTTGAATAATCATGTCATCCGCGGTGACTTCAAGCTGTTTCTCATTGCATTTCTTCAAAATCCACTTCATTCATTGGATAACATCATTCAGCTAATTATGATGCTTTTTAAAAAATACATGAGGAAATCCTAATATTCTATACTGTTTACTCATTCATTACTCAAGTCGAAATAAAATGCAAATAAACTATTCTGTTACACTCACAATATCTAGGCCACGTGTCCCTGTCGAAAGAGGAATGTAATGTGTGACTGGGATTAAGCCAGATTTCAGTGATTCTGTGGTGAGATCAGGCTGCTAGCCAATTGGTGGACATTAATTTACGTCAGTGTCTAGGTCACTAATATGGGCCGTGAGAAAATATAAATAAGGCTGATTCAACAACCAATCACAGCAGACTTAACGTGGGCAAATAAGATTCGCAAATATATGGCTTAACTTTCCGAGAAACCCGAAACAACCAATCAGAAGACTGTGTTTGTCTGCTTGAATAAGCTATAATAATGTACATGGAATATATATGAATACGTGCTGATTTCCGTAATAAAACGATCTGTTGCCGGCCCTTGTCTTCTGTTGTTATAATTCAACTACCGAACTAGGCGACGCTATTAAATGTTATTCACCTAATGTGATAGTGAATTAGTAAATCCTGGAAACGCACAGTTTGGGGAAGAGTTTAAATTTTCCAAAAAGGGTTTGTAGCTAATCTTCAAGGGGGCCTAAATCTATAATTCTGTGTTTGCTGATATGTACTAGATACACTTTTAAGGAAAGTGACCCTTCTGATCTAAATTAAACTTATGTCGCTCAGTACTGAACTCAAGTATTTTACCACTATAGTAAAACTCATACTGTAAATTGAATTAAACAAAATGATCAGATCAAGACAGGTAGCTAGGATCATGTTTCAAATGAAATTAGTCCGTAAACACTAATTTTGAAAGCTTACAGCCAAAATTAGATCTAGAAGTATGACACTACCAGAGAAACTTCGAAGCATAGAAATAGGAATAGAATTAGCTGTTTTCAAGAACGACTCAGTAAGAATAGTAGGTGTAAGTACGTTACAGTTTATGAAGCGTAGGAACATAAAGTGCACAAGTAAGTGTTTTGTGCTCTTTTATCAATTGAGATTTTACTGATTTGAGCTTATTCTAATCATTGAAAGGCTTGGGTATAAATCCCGGCTAGCTGATTACAATGCCATAATTTTGCTATGGATGATTTTTTCACGGATCATAAAAATAAAACTTTTCAAATAATTTATCTTTTCGAGTGTCTTCCCCCCACCACAATTTTCTGGTGAATGCTGCTTTGCGTTTTTGGTTTCCAACCTTTTGACAGAATTTGTCTCCAAACATTCACCCATTTTTGCATTTTTTTGATTGTTGTATTTAAATAGATGTTTAAGCGCTATTATTTATGCTAATTAGTCACTTGTGATATTGATGAGAATGCTTGTTTGTTTGGCATAAAAGACACTGTATGTGAAGTTGCTTGTTATGTGTGTATGAGCATTTCTCTATCTCATCTTTCAATAAATTTCAACTAAGGCTTACTTGTTATTCAAAATTTTTTAAATTTATCTTCGGAAGCAATAGATATTGATAAAGCAGCCTACAGTTTGTCAGAAGACATTAGGGTATTGAAGAGAAACCGTGAGCAACAAAAGTAACCGATGCCATCTGTAGTTGTGATCAGACACCTTAACAACGAGCCATTCTGGCCTACGATTGAATTTCATTGGGGGACATCAGTCCTTTCGTGATTGAGGATACGGGTTGATGATGACTACTAACAAGCACCAAACTTAGGTCCAACTGTCTAATATAACTTCAAAGACTATATGGCGATGATGAGTCACCTAGAGTGATGACAACATCGAGACATGACTTGTAGAATCAGCCAACTCTACTAAGGACTAGACATTTGACAACAGTTACTCTTCAGTGACTAACCACTATAGTATGATATTCTAGATATTTATATTATTAAAGCCCTACCTTACGACACTGTTGTTTGATGAGCGCTTTGAATAGATTCATGTAAAGTACAAAACACGAAACTTTTTGTGCATTTATCTTCCTCGAATTTACACATTGTCATTTAAATCAACACTGCTGATAATTTGTCTTAATTTTCATATTGTGCGCGACAAAAAACGTATGTTTGATAAAATAAGTCTTTCAAGTATTGGTTTTATAGGGATTTTGTTTGATTGCATGGAGGATTTCATCATGAACTGAGATCAGTTAGAGAACCACTGAAAAATCTGGGAGTACTGGGCAGTTGTTTCTTCATAGTTTGGGACTCTTCATCAGCAGCACCATTGGATCGGGTCCCAGTGGCTCAATGGTTTATGAGCTCGTCTTGTAACCAGAAGGTTATGGGTTTGAACCCCTGCGAGTGCACACTGATAAAGAGCCCCAAACTATGACGAAACAGCTGTCCAGTACTTCCAGATTTTCCAGTGGTTCTCTAACTGATCTCGGCTCATGATGTTATCCTCCATGCAATCAAAATAAGTCTTAACAAACAAGCTGGTTGGTCCTCTGGGTTGACTTTGTCTTCCCATCTTCCTGACTAATTCAGTTCTAAAGGAGACAAATAACATCTACACTGATGAAATTATTAAAATCAGGCTAGTCAGGTCTACTAATTCGTTCCAGTGATTCTCACCTAGTCATATCAGTCCTGTGTATGATAATTAACAAATGCCAAACCTTTTTTGTTTTGTTTTTTCAAGTTATATTTAGATCTCTGATCACATTTCATAGATCTCACTCAAAACAGCTACCTATGCATTTATATACTTCTAATAGCATTATTTGTAAAAAATTTTGTCGAAATTGAGCAATATACTCTTTTATTGAATCGGTATCGTCACATAGGATATCATCAAAACTCAGATAAAGATACTACTATTACGATGACCACGGATCTTAGTACTTAACATTGAAATAGCTTAGTGAGTGATTCTCGTGCTTCCTTCAAAAGTTAGTTTTCTTCATACTTTCTAACAGAGAATATGGAACTTTTAAGTTCTATAAGGAACATGTCAGTTTTGAGTCATTTGACTGAAATTCAATAGTTAGTGTTTTGTAAGTTTATCTGTTTTACGACGTGCCAGAAATATGCTTTAAATGTAATAATGAACAGTTTCCATCATCTCCTGAACATTGATTTTTGATGTTAGTATTTACTAGCAACCTAATCGTTACAAAAGACCATTATTATTATTATTGTTCCCTTGGTTTCCTAGTGGAACATAGGGCTTCAACTGCACTCATTCCTGTTTGTAGTTGTTTGTAGAAAGCCTCCTTCTTCTCTTGTTCTGAGACGTTTGTAGGCGCATAGCATTGCATGATTGTAACCTTCCTTCCTTTTGGGTTGAATCTGGCTGTCATTATCCTGGAGAAGATTGGTCCCCACTGCACGAGAGCTTTGGCTGCTGTTGGTGACATCTTGATGGCCACTCCCTCGGTGTGCCCGTTGTTGTCCTCTGGATGACCAGAATAGGTTACTGTCTCTCCACTTGATAGTTGGCACCTTCCACATCCGTTCCATCTGCTCTCGCAGATTCCCAACACTTCTATTCTATATCTTCTCATTTCTGCGGCTACCTGGGCAGCCTTTTCGGCTTCGTATATTGTACTAACATTCCACGTCCCCATCCTTATTTTTGCTTTTATCGAAAGAAGGCACATAGGCTGACTGGCTTCCCGAAGGCTTTCACCAGCCTGAGTCATTTCACTTCTCCGATTCCAGCGAAAAGTAAGGCTATTGCTTATGTTTTTAGAATTTTTAATATATTTTTGCGTTGAAGTTTCTGTAGTGATTTGGTTAAGTTTTTAGGGTGGATTTGCTAGCACCACGCCCCAACCCTCCTTCTTTATCCGGGCTTGGGACCGGCTGGAAAACTAGCGAGTTAGTAATCTAGGCGAGGTTACTAAAGACCATGCTTCTGGATAATACTCATCACTGAGTGAAGACATGTCAAGCTATTCATCTTTTTGTTAATACCTTTTCAAGCATTTAACCATAGAACTTAACTTTTTTCTATATCTTATCTACTTTAGGCAGCCCATCTAGGTTCACTCCTCAGACACGGAAATCTTTAAGTCCATGTAATAAAAGAATAGTAAGAATTTATTCTTCTACACCATTTGGTAAACTATCCAATATGTTATCCGATGCTTATACACAAATGATATCTCCATTGGCAACAGGTGATTTTAGTGATCAAGGTATAGTGTGTTTCGCACTAACTGGTATTCAATATCGACAAAAAGTCGATACGAATGGCATTAATAACACCTCCGATGATAATGATAAAAATCTTCCAAAATCATATTCTTCATTGGCTGTTTCAAAAGAAATGAATGTTTGGACTGGACCAGATTCAGCAGAAACTTATCGTCTAGAACTTCTACTTAGTAGTAAAGTTTTAAGAGAACCAGATGAACCTGTAACACTGCCACAGGATACTGAAATTGTTAATAGAAGGTCAATAACTTTATTACACTCTGATAATCAGACTGAAGAATTATCACATCAAATATCATCTTTAGGTAAGTAATGTTTTTAAAAAAAAAATTTTATTCGACTTAATTTATTCAATATTCTTAGAAATGTACACAAACTTAACTAATATTTCATTTCTCTATCACTTGAATAACCCAGAAGCATTCAGCTGTACTTTACAGTAATACTTCTAACTACATCATCATTCAGATATTTCATCGTAGAGGATGCTCAGTATGTCACCGACAAACTCATCTCACTTTATTCCTTAGAATTCCAATCCCATTCCACATGATTCTCTAACCTTAGAATGTAGTCAAACACAGCAGATCAAAAAAGGCTTCAGACAACAAAATAGTGGATATAAAACACCATTTTACTTATGTATTTGTAAGTGACCTTAGTTTTTCAAACCGGCCAAGTTAAATTTTTAGCATCAATAACAACCAATCTGAGAATGACCCTGAGTTATACAATGAGTTTCATCCACATGAGTTGAAGGTTCTCTTCCGCTTGATTCGAGTCAAACACCTGCTCTAAAGCAGTCGCCCTTGCAGTTTGGTGAGGATAAGGTTTTCCAGTTTCTCTTAGATGCGGGGTCGCTTAGGAAGGAAAGGAGTGCAAGTGTCATAAGTATAAAAAACTTCAGCAGGTTGATTGATGGATATGTCCATCATCATGCAATTTGTCTGGGACTAGTGAGTGTTGTGCAGGGTAAGCTGATGATTCTAATATTTCATAGAAACATTTTTTTGCCAGGTCCTATCTGTCCTTAGCCCAGATTTTGTATATTTGTTATTAGTGGATTTTAAAACAGCTTGTGAGAGGTGCAACTGCTGAAACTGAAAATAGTCTCGTATCAACAGTTCAGTGGTACCAGCACTGCAAAGACATTGCATCATGGAAAATGGGGAGAATTACTTCGTTGTTGAGCGGAGAAGGCATCGTCGTGCACGTGAACGAAACTTTGTTACTGAAGAAAAAATACAACCCTGGTCGTGAGCGAGCCAACAATATTCGGATGATTGGTTTATATGACACCTCCCTACGGAAAGGATTAGTGGAGAGAAAGTCAACTACTTTAATACCTATTATTACTAGACTTATGAAACAAGGATCGATAATGCACACCGATGAGTAAGAAGGATATAACTTCTTGTCATCTCTGGGATATATTCACCACAGAGTAAACCACACCAGTGATTTTGTGGATCCAATTGCGGGGACCCACACCAATTCCATCGAAGTCTTTTGAGGAAGATTAAAAAACAGGATTAGGGCCATTAGTGGATCTCAGAAGGATGTCATTTATAGTCATTTAGATGAATATATGTATATAATGTGGTGTAACTTTTCAATTGGTACTCTTATGCTAAACTAAAAGATGTTTTTATCACATGTCATAGGAAGGTATGCTATGTAACAGTTTTATGCATTTTTTTTCATAAATATATGATTTCCATAACTGCTTCCTTCATTGATTAGTGCGTTCAAGGTCATTCGCTGATTGGTTGTTAGTGGTGCTTAAAGTTTAACTTCACCTTCAAACCTTTAGCATGTGAATTTTATCGTATCCTACGACCAGCTGTTTATTATATGTTAGAAGAATTTAGTCATTAGGAAACCAGACTTCTTTATTATTATTATTGTTCCCTTGGGTTCCTAGTGGAACATAGGGCTTCAACTGCACGTCTCCATTTTCTTCTGTCTTCTGCTATACTTTTCGCCTGCATCCATGTTAATCCATATTCTTTCAACTCCTCTTCACACGATCTCCTCCATGTCACCCTTGGACGTCCCACACGCCGCTTCCCTTTCGGGTTCCACTCGAGGGCTTGGCGCGCGATGTCACCCAGCGGTCTCCTCAGCGAGTGTCCGATCCATCTCCACTTTCTCCTGCATATTTGTTGGGCGATTGGTTCTTGCTTTGTTTGTTCCCATAATTCCTTGTTGGTGATTCTTTCCGGCCATCTGATCTTCAGTATTGAGCGAAGACAGTTGTTAATAAAGGTCTGCAGCCTTTTGGAAATATTCTTTGTGACCCGCCAAGTTTCTGATCCGTATAGAAGAACTGACTGACTTTACGTTTGTATTGAAAATCCGAATTTTGTTGGTGATGCTGAGTGACGAAGATTTCCAGATTGATTTCAGGTTGATGAATGTGTTTCTCGCCTTCCCGATTCTCGCTCGATTTGACATCCTCGTCCGTTCCTCCTGTAGTTGAGACAATGCTCCCTAGATAAGTGAATGAAGTAACCTCTTTCAAATCCCTCCCGTTGATGGTGATTGACGTTGGATGTTGTTGCTGTTGTTGGTTGGTTATTTTCATAACCTCCGTCTTGTCTATGTTTACCTGGAGTCCTGTCTTCGCCGGCTGCTTCTTCGACCAGTTTGTCGGTTTTCGCTTGTAAGTCTTCGATTGTGTGTGACATCAAACATAAATCATCCACCGCGAAATCCAGGTCTTCTAGGTTCTTCACGTCGGTCCAGGATATTCCTGTCTTCTCGTTTCCCACTCAGTCTGACGCATAATCCAGTCCACCACAATTAGGAATATCATTGGTGATAGTAAGCACCCTTGTCTGACTCCTGTGTTTACTCCAAACGCCTCGCTGAGTCTTCCGTTGTGGATCACTTGGCAGGTGCCGTTGTCGTACAGCTGTTGAATAAGGTTGATGAATATTTGGGGTACGCCATAGTACTCGAGTAATTTCCAAATTACTTCACGATCAACGCTGTCGAAGGCCTTCTCAAAGTCTATAAAGTTGAGGTAGAGGTTTGATTGCCATTCCATGCTTTGTTCGATGATGATGCGTAGAGTTGCAATTTGGTCAGTACATGATTTGCCTTTCCTGAATCCAGCTTGTTCTGGTCGGAGTTCTGTCTCCAGTGCGTCCTTTAATCTCTCCAGGATGATGCGACTCAGGATTTTACTTGGCGTCGATAGGAGCATGATTCCTCGCCAGTTCTTGCAGAGTCCTAAGTCGCCCTTCTTTGGTAGTTTCACGAGGTAACCTTTCCTCCAGTCAGTAGGCACCTTTCCCTCCTTCCAGACCTTTTGCAATAATGGAGTCAGCATGTCTGCTGTAGTCTCTGGGTCCGCTTTCAGTGCTTCAGGGGGTATTCCATCTGGTCCGGCTGTTTTTCCAGCTTTCAGAAGTTTGATTGCGTTCAAGACTTCAGCTCTCGTTGGAGGATTGGTGTCAACTTGCAGTTGGTGTGCGCTGTTGTTGGTATTTCTGGACGGGTTGCAGGTGATGGTCGGTTCAAGAGTCCTTTGAAGTGATCCGCCCATTGTTTAATCTGTTTTTCTTCCTTGGTAATTGGGTTCCCTTGGCTGTCTTTTATAGGTTTCGCTTGTGTTGGTCTCTTCCCGGATAGAGATTTGGTTATCTGATATAGTGTCCTCAGGTCCCTTTTGCCTGCTGCCTTCTCAGCTTCAGTAGCTAGATTGTCGTAGAATCGTCTTTTGTCCTTCCTAGCACTTTTCTTCACTTCTTTGTCCAATGCTTTGTAAGTTGAGCTCATCGTCTCCTTCTCCTGTCCGTCCTTGCATTGAATCATTTTCTCTTTCACCATTCTCCTCTCTTCTATTAATTTCCAAGTGTCCGTTGAGAGCCATTCCTTGTCTTGTCTCTTCTTTCTTCCTAGAACCGTTGAACACGTTTCGTTGAGAATCGCCTTCAGAGACTTCCAATGTTCTTCCACGCATGATTCTTCAGTGATGTCGCGTAGTGTTTCCTGCTTTGCTCTGACAGTTGCAGTGAAGTGTCTTTTGTGGTTGTGTCCTTCAGTTATTGAGTGTTGAACTTGCATTGTGGCCTATCCCCAGCTATCCTCGAGGCTTTTAGTTTCACCTTGAAAGTCCCTTCTACTAGATAGTGGTCTGAACCCACATCTGCTCCTCTCCTTGACCTTGTGTCCAGTAGGCTCCGTCTCCACTTTCTTGAAATTGAGATGAAGTCTATTTGGTTCTTGGTGTTTCCATCTGGTGAAATCCATGTCGTCTTGTGTATATCCTTGTGTTTGAACACACTACCACCAATCACCAAATCATTGAAGGCGCAGAAGTCTGAGAAGAGTTCACCATTGTCGTTCATTTCACCGAGGGCCTCACGACCCATGGTGAGTTCTCTTCCTGTGTTGTCTCCTCCCAGCTTCGCATTCATGTCGCCCATCAGGATTTTGATATCGCCATTTGGGACGTTGTCCATTATTGCTTGTAGTTGTCTGTAGAACGCCTCCTTCTTCTCTTGTTCTGAGACGTTTGTAGGCGCATAGCATTGAATGACTGTAACTTTCCTTCCTTTTGAGTTGAACCTGGCTGTCATTATCCTGGAGGAGATTGGTTCCCACTGCATGAGAGCTTTGGCTGCTGTTGGTGACATCATGATGGCCACTCCCTCGGTGTGCTCGTGGTTGTCCTCTGGATGGCCGGAATAGATTACTGTCTCTCCAGTAGGTAGTTGGCACCTTCCAGTTCCGTTCCATCTGCTCTCGCAGATTCCCAACACTTCTATTCTGTACCTTCTCATTTCAGCGGCTATCTGGGCAGCCTTTCCAGCTTCGTACATTGTACTAACATTCCAGGTACCCATCCTTACTTTTGCTTTCATCGAAAGAAGGCACATCGGCTGACTGGCTTCCCGAAGGCTTTCACCAGCCTGCGTCATTTCACTTCCCCGATTCCAGCGAAAAGTAAGGCTATTGCTTATGTTTTTAGAATTTTTAATATATTTATTCGTTGAAGTTTCTGTAGCGATTTGGTTGTTTTACAGGGGTGGAGTTGCTAGCACCACGCCCCAACCCTCCCTCTTTACCCGGGCTTGGGACCGGCGAGAAAACTAGTAAGCTAGTAGCCTAGCAAGCTAGTATCTGGCGAGGTTAGACTTCTTTAGAGTTGAACAAATGTAGTCAAATTTAATATAAGTACCGCATGCTGAGCAACGGTGATATGTTACCCAGTTTCGACACCAGATCTGACCAACAGATTACGAACAGCAGACTTAGAACTAGACAGTTACTCATATTACTGACAGATGGCTATTTAGTGTAAACCTGTTCTTTAAACATATCTTTTCAGTATGCTGAGTACATATAAACATTTTAGAGATTTCTAGGCTTTTCAGCAACCTATGCAATAAACACTGCATAGCTTAAAATATAGGCGTTATGACAATTTTTTCTTTCATTCTCATAAATAGATACCAGTTAGAAATACCAAGATAATTTGAATCAGATTGTTAAAACCAAGTAGACTTAAGTGTATTTGTCTCCTCATACTCATTCCCATTGTGATTTATTCACGAAAAAGGTTTCAAGTCAGTGAATCGCTAGTCCCTACCATCTATTGCTGAATCAGAAAATCGGTTGAAATTCTTGGGAAAGCGCATTATAACACCAGTCAGTTATATATCAGTGATTTTCCAGCTTGCAAACCTGCCAACATATAATACACTCAAGTTTTCTGATAGTAAGATTCATAATTAATTAACATTCCCACTGTCCTACCTAACAGACCCTTTTTACATATTGGTTGTTAGGTGGCGTCACCAGTATTCTTCAGTCATTAGTGTTGAATATCTCTAGGACAACAATTAAAACTTACCTATTTGGCTCATGCCCACAGATAAACAACCAGACAGTTGCCACCACTTTTGTCAATCACTACCAACTCTTCTTGATACTATCCTTCTGAAGTTAAGAACGAGCAGTTACTCTTGGAGACTAAAAGATTCTAAAAGGCAGTTTATTAAGACTAAAACCGGCACTTCACTCTCTTTTCTTTCCTTCAAACACTTATTCTGCTGACACCTGATTCTTTAAAATCAAATACTTTTAAAGTCTTCAATGCATCTCATTTTTAACTTATGTTATGCATTTTAGGTTTTCCGGATAGAAAGAATATCGATGAAAGAGACTATATGACATGGCAGTTACTTGGAGTTTTCGCCTTCACATTTGTTACTCTCATGTTGTCATTAACAGTAGCCTTCATATGCTTAGATGGAAAACCGTGTAATTTTCCTAAGTTTGTAAAACATACTCTTGAGTTTTTCAAGCGTGAATAAATAATATCTTAATGTTCTTCATTGAAATAAATGATAATAATGGGTTAATTTCACTAAAGTTACACGTGTTTACTATAAAATGCACATCAGTTGTCTTATTTTCCATTCATCCTTACTCACTTCTACTTCATATCAATTGTTATACAGTTAAAAGAAATCTTACTTTTTTTTCAACGTTCAAATTTGCTTTGACCTCATCAAGAAATATGTGAGTACTTCTTATTCTTACTACCTGTGCACTGGAATGACTTATTTGCTTATCTTTTTACCATTATATGCATATATGTATACTCGAATTTGTAATCTGTTAATATACTGATTTTTCTACCAATATATGAGTAGTTTTTACTAATTTGTATCTCTAATTCTAACATTACAAAAGTTGACTATACACTTTCTGAAATTAATATTTTGAATTTCCCGTTGATTAATTTTATTCAACCGGAATGTTCAATCTCTACTGCACAAAAGATAGCTCCCGTGGCTCAGTGACCTTGGGATAGTTCTCTGGTGTTTGAAACCATGGCCACTGGGTTCGAGGCTAAGTGAGAGTTCCAACACACGTTTGGGATGTGGGTACACCCAGATGAAAAGTCTCAAATAGGAGGAAGCCTGCTGCCTGGATTCAGCTGCTAGCCACAATCAGTCAAATTACAATAGATCAAATATCCCAGTTTTCAAATAGTGCAACGGCTAAACTTCTCAGCATACACATAATTTCATAATAAAAAGAGAGGAAAAAGATAAATAAATAATAGTAGTAAGATTTTCTAGAATTGGTTTTGTAGGGATTTTGTTTAATTGCATCGAGGATTTCATCACGAGCTGACATCAGTTACAGAACCACTGGAAAACCTGGAAGTACTGAACAGTTGCTTTGTCCTAACTTGGGACTCTTCGGCAGTACGCACCCACATACTGCTGAGCCACACGCTATCATTATGACGATAAGAACGGAAAACAACGTCTTAATATTTAAATAAAGACAAGGATTTGTACTGTTCATTTAACTGTGAATTAAAATAATAAAATACCATGAAAAATCAAATAAAAGTAACAGCAACAACCGTGAAAAAATCTGAATAGTTGGAGTTATTAAAGCGATAAAGTGTGAGTTTCCTAGTCAGTTCATCTGCACTTGTAAGAAAACAGTAAGATAGCATATGATATACATGTAAGGTATTAAACTTTACAGGTGATTAAATCACTTTGTTGCATATGAAAAGATTAGAAGTTGAGGATATAAAAACAACTGGTGAAAGGGGTAACTTAAACAAACCAAAGGATAAGCTTACGAACTGTTATAGTCGAGATAAATTTTCTTTTACAAGGCAATTTCATCCCAAAAGGGTTTTATATAGATTATTGACTAAGGTGTGTTTCATTCGACCACTTCCTACGCTTATGCTTTTTTTCTTAAGATAAAAGTAACCAGTTGTCATGAGAAATTTATCTCTTCACAAGATTCACTTTTTCTAAACAGCATTTACTACACGTAATTTCTATTCCGTGGATGACTTAACGGATAAGACTATTTTCTTTATAGTACTCCTTAACATGATGACCCCAGTATTTTTAAACCCAGAAAGGTGAATTTAAAATGTAGTTCATGCATGAAGATACTAACTGACCACCTTGCATATATCTAATCCCTTCCAGTTGAAAGATTAGTAAAGTTAATTTTCTAAAACTTATCCATGTCGATAAACATTTAAAAGGTAATTAGAATAAACTGAACTTTGAAAAAAAATTCATCAGTTCAAATTTCTAGACTTCAAAAAAGGACAAGAACTTGTAGAAGAGAAAATACAATGAAACCACAACAGACGAAAATGTGCAGAAGATGAAATAACTGCAGTAGGAATAAGGAGGACTTTATGAATCTGGAAGATAACGTGGAATGAATACATCTGCGTCGTCTCGACAAAATTTGAACCATGTCACCAACCATCTCTGAACACCGATTCCTAGCACCTTGACAGTAATAACCAAGAAGTCTACTCTGTATAATTCCGTCGTCTCTCCTAGTCACTGAAATATCCATGAAACCGACTTTGTTATTCGAATGACTTCCGAATTTGAATCGAATAACAAATTCGATTTCTTGGATATTTCAATAACTAGGACAGACGATGTAACGATTAAGCGATCTACTTTTCGTAAGCAGACATGGAGTGGACAATATCTTCATTTCATCAGTTTTGTTCCTATCCAGTTTAAACGCTCCCTAGTGACATGTTTGTTTCCAAGGGCCCGTAAAATATGCACGAGCGACACACTGATAGATGAGCTTCGGCACATTCAGTTTTATTAGCTTGTAACAACAGAAGACAAGGGCCAGGCAACAGATCGTTTTATTACGGAAATCAACACGTATTAATATATATTTCACATACATTATTATAGCTTGTTCAAGTAGACAAACGCAGTCTTCTGATTGGTTGTTTCTCAGAAGTCAAGCAGACAAACGCAGGTTTCTGATTGGTTGTTTCACGTAACCATCGAAAAGTCGAGCCATCTATCTGTGAATCATATTTACCCACGTTAAGTTTGCTGTGATTGGTTGTTGAATCATCCTTGCTCATATTTTCTCACGGCCCATATTAGTGACCTAGACATTGGCGTAGATTAATGTCTACCAATTGGCTAGCAGCCTGCTCTCACCACAAGCTAATGGTTACTCAGAAAACTTTATCAGTTGTCACAGTAAGGATGGATAGACCACATATTGAAACGACAGCTTCTATACCAAAATAGAGGTGATCAAATTACGCAGTTAACAGCTCAAAGACTTCCGTCAACTATCAGACGGACATTCTGCGCCGCATCTGTTTCCCTCACATGCCGAACATTTTCGATCCCTGTGCCTACGATTAAAGGGCAAAATTCTGTATACTCCACTTCAGACTGCATCTACAAATTCACCTGGAGTTGCGGTGATACTCATTTAGGTAGAATCAACAGAATGTTCCAATGTCGTCGAAAAGAACATGTTTCAAAATGATTATTAAAACACATAGAAAGTGCCAATGCAATTTATCTGAATAGAAATCCATCATCTTCCACTGCAAAGCACTTAATAATACCAGGTTGCAAAATCAGTATCAACGACTGTTTCACAATTATTTTACATAATTCATGAATAATTCCCATTCGAACATTAGTAGACAGAAGACAAGTAGTTCAGTTCTACGGTACTCTGTCAAACTTGCGATAGTGAAAGCGAAAATTACCTTTTTCAATGATTGTATCACCAATCGCGAATATCCAAAATGGTTTTGGAAAGCATTGAGAAGAAGCCACATATACCCCAACACAAAATCCCTCCGACGACATGCATTGAATCTTATTGACTCTATTAAAGCCCGTATTCCAGAACTTCAACGCAACATTTCACAAAGGTCTCCAGCCCTCCACGATCTGCTACCTAGTGAAACCCAGAGGTTTACGGAATATGTCAATACAGTCACTGATAAACGAGCACAATCTACTATTTTACATAACTCTAATTCAACGTTATTAGAGGTGATGCAAGCACTTTGGATTAATCACATACATCCTAAATTATGTGTAAAAACAGTAGACTTTAACGTTCGCCTACTGTAAGCTACTTGACCTATTTAAGTGTGAATGGTCATTAGTATGTACTTTTATTTTATATAACTGAGTAATTGTCATGCATTTTATGTTATTATTGTGAACCATGTTAGTTGTAAAACGGTAGTAAAGAAACTGTAAGATGATATCATCTCGCAAAATTTATCTTCTAAATGGCTTATTCAAATTTATCAAAGGCATTAAATATTTTAATGGTTTACTATTGCTATTTCTGTCTGAGTGAACTCAAGGCTGTGCAGTGTCGCAGGTGCTTAGCCTTGGTCTTTCTTCTGGAAACGTATTTTATTCTACTTGAATTTGGTGAAAAGAATTTTAATACCATTTTGTTGGGAATATTAGTGTTGTCTCTCAGTAGGTATACCTAACTGAAATACCCTTAGACTATGTAGTTACCCGACGGCATTGTTGAGGTATTCTTGCATTTTTTGATATAACTTATTTAATCGTGCCAGAGATTTTCTTACATTCAATATAGTTTTGATATTGTCAGAATATAATTTTTGACTGTGTGTGTGTGACTCATGAAAGTTTGTGAAACTATACAGAAAACACAGTTAATCGTGCTGCTAGTGTTATCTTGGTTTGGTTGTCTTGTTCCTTACATGCATGTTCTACCTTTAGTTTCTGTTAAGTAAGATAGATTTACGCAACAGTATTTCAGAGTATCCAGATATGTTTTCATTTCCCTACCATTTTAAATTCGATTTATTTAGAACACATTTGTCTAACTCAAACATGTTTTTCATATATATAAACACACTGATCGATTTACACATATCACAGTGTTGATTTGGTCATACCATCACATATTATCAATCTACATTGTAGAACACGATTTAAGGGAGAGACATTGAAAAAAACCTTTATGATCACAGAGGCTGTGTTGAAAAATCTTTATGGAAAGTGCCTCAACTATGCTTAACAAGTGAATACCTACCGACCTAGGGAGTTGAGGTGGCACCTTGTATGGAATTGTAAAAGCTGAATTTTTGTCAGTCTTGTACTTCGTATCCACTAGCTGTACCAGTATGGGACTTCTGACTGACCTTAAGACTCCTCTACCTAACCACTTTGAACAAAACTCCAGAAGGTGACGGTGGGCTTACCTAGTCGTTCTACCTCTGTAACTGTCTCCATATGAACAGTCAAACTTATAAATGCGCATTCACGTGGTCAGACTCGGTAGCTTATTACCCTTCACCTGCGTTGGAATTATACAACAAGTGGCTAATTTTAAACACAGTGCTGTGGCAAAGAATGTTTTAGCTATTATTTTTCGAAGTTTTGATGCCAGTAATCCAGTTGCTGCTTCTTCTTTAAGCTACATAGTATCCAAATGGATAGAAATGAAGCCTAACACATACGACAACAGCATTTCTTAC